CTTATAAAAGGCAGCCTAAGCTCCCTATTTTTAATTATAGAAAAAGGGAGGAATGTTGGGATCAGTAAGCATGCACCTCTATGGCTAGCCCCAAGGGACCTGACAAACCGGTTATCAGGCATTTGTGAAGACACCCAGATGACCTGTTGACCACCTGGAACTACCTGCCCATTCCCTGGGTCACCCTATAAGAAAACTGGAGCACTTCCCCTCTCTCTCTTTCTCTTCAGCCTCGTATCTCTGCGATCCCATTCCCTCTTCCCCTAATAAACCTTCCACGTGGAATCGATCTCGTGGTGTGATTTTGAACCTGCCATGTAACCTTCACAGGCGCACATTTCCTAACATTGGTACATTTCCTAAGATATACCACCAGGCATTGGGTGTTTCTTTGTTTGTTTGTTGTTGTTTTAAAATTTTTTAAACCTCTGCTCCATATTCCAAATGGAGGGACGCTGCTTCGGTAATAACAGGGGTGTGTGTAATGACCACTCACCATTTGTCCGTTGTTGGAATTTACTCTGCAAAGGTCTGATATGTCTTGTTCAATTTCCTTTGCCTTCTGTGATCCTGAAATTGTTCCTGTGCAACAGTAAAAATTGAAAGTTGGGGCAGCTGCTTTGAACTTATCTCAGTTCTTCAAAATGAAGACACACAAATGTTTTTTTCTAAAATAAAAAATATATCAGATATCTCAAATGAGCTTATTAGAATTTGACAATCAAATAGCTTGAAATACACTGTAACCTCTACCCTGGATGCCTCTCAGAGATTCACGTTCATTTCTTACTAGGAAAGGCAATCCATTTCTCTACATCCCCATAGACTTTAATAGTCCCAAGACAGTCCAGTCATAATTCAAACACTTGCCTATCCCACAGTGCTTACAAGATTACTACTTCTAGAGTAATGGAAGAGTGGAAACCGGCCTATTCCAATAGAGAGGACTAATCATCTAGCAAGAAAAGATAAGAACAAGATAGACAGAAATGTAGTGGGAAACCCTAATCCTGCACCATCACCTGCATTGCACCTGAGGTTCCTGAAAAAATCATCTGGCTCCAAAGAGCAGAATCAACACCAACGTCCGTCTCTGTGGCCGGAAGCAAAGACACCCCAGTCTGGCCTTTGCTAAGGTTCTACCGTGAGTATATGGTGAGGTTCCAATTCCCCTCAGTGGTCACCTGCATTGCTCATGCATTGTGACCCCACAAGGACTGTTAGGAGGGACACTGTACATCCCACCAATTGCATGGTGAAACACTTCACTTCAACAATGCTGCAAAGCTTCATGTTGACCTACATGTTGCACCTTAGTGCCTACAAAACCAGTACAATGCAGTAGACGGTGCTGGCAAGTTCTGCTCCCATCCCTATAGCAGTTTCATTTGTCTATGGGTACTGGCCCTGGAGAAAGCAGGGAGCCTTCACCTTTCAAACGAGATTGCATTTTCACAAGAAATTCATTGCATATTCATTGCATATTCCCATGGATGTGCTCTAGGATCAGAGCATGTTTAATGTTGGCTCAGTACGAAGTTCCAGGATTGCCCATATTGGAGTTAGTCTCCCCAACACAGTACCACAGATTTCCCATTGTCTAACTTTAAAGTTACTGTGGTCTTAGAATGAAATGGCATCTATAGGCTCATGCAATTGAATGCTTGGGTCCCAGTTGGTGGGAACTGTTTAGGAAGGACTAGGAGGTGTGGCCTTGTCACAAGAGGTGAGTCACTGGGGTGGCCTTTGAGGTTACAGAATCCCATGCCCTTTCCAGTTATCTTTCTCTGCCTCCTACTGGAGATCAAGATGCAAGCTGTCTGCTCCTGCTCCCAGACCAGGCCTGCCTGCCTGCTGCCATGCTCCCTGCAGAGGACTTTTCAGCTCTTTAACCACAAGCAGCAAATCAAACTTCTTTATGATGTATTGTTCACTGCAATTAATAAGACCCTCAGTTGGGTGATTTTCCAATGTGGAAGAGTAAGACTGTCTGCTGACCTGAGAGCAGGTTCTGGTGACAGACAGAGGAAAGCTTCCATCCAAGTCCCTGTCTTTGTGAATCAACCAGTTTAATGGGGTTTCAGACAGTTTGATTGACAGGTGAGAACAGAAACAGATGACTCAAGGCAGCAACATCAAGAATACTAAAAACCTCAGTGGATTCTGGGCTAGAACTCAGCAAAGTTACATTCCTTCTTTAGAAAAGGACAGATTCTGCTCTGCCTTTCTGTGGTGTCCTGCTCATTTTCAGCCCTTTGGCTAGAAAAACCTTCTTCCCCAGCTGCTCATCTGCGACCATTTCTTGCGGCTGTTATGGGAAGCTTTTTGCCTTCAGGGTGTGTCTGACACTAGTCTGCTTCCACTCTCTTTTACAGGGCAAGAACAATTTTCCTAGAGACAGAGCTTTGAAGCCACTGTTTTGTGGGAGGGTTTGTGCCTCTACCCAGGACTTTTTCAGGGTTACTTTTGATTCTGTGCTCTATTTGTGGTATGCCATTACATTGTGAGGGCTTCTCCTCCAGGCCTGGAATAACGAAAAAGACTAAAAATATATTTACAAATACCTAGACCATACACCTACGCTCCTTTCCTGATTAGCTCATAACTGATAACCTAGCCACATGGCTGGTTACCTCTGCTCATGAACCATGCATCTGTCCTCTTTCACATTTCCTGGGCAAATCTTGCACGCCTGGCTCCATCCCAGAATACGTTCTGCCTAAGGAATGTCCCACCTTCCATGCTACCCTTTCCTATAGGGCATGGGTTTTTTTATTGACAGGTGAGGCATCCATACAATACAAAAGCTATTCCTTCTACACTGGGGTGTGGCAGAAAAAAAATGCATGTGCAAACACAGGATTTAAAGCCTGAAGCTTAGACACTTTCTTTCCCATCTACTCTAGAGGTTTATTCAGTTCTCTGTGTCTTATCTAATGTGTCAACATTTACATGTAAATACTCTTTTCTTCCAAGTCAATTATAGAAAATATGTGATGTGTTGTCTTCTTAAATTTTTACCCAAGTCCATTTCACTGGAAGACTCCTTGGCTAACTTTAGTAATGATGGATAACAAGGAACCAAAGCAGCTGTGACAACTGTGTATAGAGAAGGGAGGACAGGGAGGTTGAGGAGGCCATTGCTCATCTTTCCTCTCTTGCACTCATGGCAAAGCCAAGTGTAAGATACAAGGTGGGTCTGACTGCAGCTCATCTCTTGGTACCATCCCTGCCCCTTCTCTAAAGTTACACTGATGCAGGGCTCCTTAATCCTCAGCATCTGAGCTGTCTGGGAATCTTCTCTTGCTCCCTCTTGATGACTTCCCAGTAAGATGCTGGCCCTCTGTAAACTTTATGACAGCCTGAGTTGTGTGCTGTAATCACTGCTAAAAGCGGTCAAGATTGGTTATGTCCAAATCCAAGAGAGTTTAAAATGATCCTTATTGTGGGAAGAATTCAGTACATGAATATTGTGTTTGATTCAATCTCCCCTACAATGCCTCACCTCAAATTACTTCATATTCTTAACAAAAATTTACACTCCAACGTCTTCATTCCAATTTCTTCATTCCACTTAGTTCTCCCACTATGTGTATGGGTTTAGGACAATTGACTGGAGACTAGAAGCCTCTTTGACTGTTTCCCTCAAGTGTCTTAGCTCATCCACTTAGGGTGAGACATAATAAGGCTCTTAGTCCACCATAGTTGTGGCATGGTTTTAATTTGCACAGATGTTCTCCACATAGTATTAGCTACTGTGTGAGTATGAATGAAATGGTCCTGACATTTTAGCAAACTCTTTTTCACTGTAGACAGCCAGTGCATCTGGCTCTGACCATCTTTCTACCTCTCCTCCCTCAGAGGTCCCTGAGTTTTGGCATTAGCAGAGAGGTGTAGGTGTGCGATTTAGGTCAGTACTCTCTACAGGGTATATTATTTTCCACACTCTGACAAACTCTGAATCTGTGTAGTAGTCTCCATCTTCTACACAATTAAACTTTCTGGTAGGTATTAGGAGGTGCCTGAATCTGTGGATATAAAGACAAGAACTGACGTTCATTTAGTTACCAGTCATAAGAATACAAGTCTTGGGTTCTCCCTAGGGCAGATCATGTATACAGGCACAGGTTTGCCTGTGATCTACACCACAGGTTATTAGTTACAGTCAGTGGATTGAGATTTAAATTCAACCAGAAAATGTTTGCTACTTACACTACTTCCATAACTTTGTTGTCACTATTGCTCCATGGACATATCTTGCCAGGCCATTTATTCTACTTGGGTCCACAGGTGGGTAAGACAACTGTTACTTCTATAGTAGGATACCTAGATTGTGTCTCCACCATGAAAGCTAGCCAGAAAAGAGGAAGCATCTAAGCTGCTAACCGCTGATTTTACAGCCACTGTGCATGAGAATTCTATCTTTACTACAGAACCGGTAAAAGAAATAATCAGTGTGACAAAGTTACAAATCACCCTGATTATTAAACCATTTAGGTGTATATTGAGGAAGCTTGGGCTCCCACCTCACAAAGGCTCACAATGAGAAGTGAGTGAGGGTACCGTTTTAAAATTAAAAGGTTATACTCTCATGAGATGTATACTGAGCTGTCATGTTATGTTTGTTTCACTATTCCGTTCTACAGCACAGAATAAGGGACCCATTCATCTATAAATTTCTGCAAATAAACTTCATTTATACTTAGCATGACTAAAACAATTTTTGGTACATTAGGGATATTTAGTCATTTATAAATTAGATTGTTAACTTTTAGGTTTTAATTGCCCTTGTTTAACTGTTTACATAAATTAGTAAATTCAAATTTAATAGGACTTTTTAGGATCTGTATCAATACGTAAGTAATTGACAAGAACATATCTGCTGAACAAACACATCACTACTGCTGAGTAGGTACATATGGTCTGGATTCTTATTTCAGTATGACCCCAGGTTTCTAAGACAGCACAGTTGGAGTCGTATGAGAAACACTACTGTGAACTAAAGAGAGTAAGAGATTCTTTATTCTAAATCAAGGATTGACAATGTGTTGTTAGCTTTTCCTGGTGAGAAAACACTAATGCCCACTCACCCAGGTTAGAGACCGTGTAGACCACTTTAGTAAAGTCAACCTCGTGACACATGTGAGTTTAGGGAGATTCTTACACACTCAGAGGCAATGATATGACAGGGGTGGAGTGACACAACAGAGAAAACAACAGTCCTTACACCACAGCCCAGATCTCAGATTCAGGGCGCTCAAAGGACCAACTTACAACATGATAACCATTTCAGGAAACATTTATAGTTCCAGAGAAAAGAAACCCATCAGTCAATGCCAGATTCAAACACACTGATTGAACACACTGGTGGTGAGGGTACAGTGGTCGACTCTGTGGATTCATATGCGTTGGAGAAGGTTTGAATTGTTAGCACACACTAATGGAGTTTGTATTCAGAATGAATCATCTGAGGTCTTTCAAGGGCTAAACAAGAGTAAACTTTTAGCATTTTTCTCCAGTATGGACTGTCATGTGTCGACTCAGGCTACAACCCTTAACAAAGGCTTTGCCACATTTCCCACACTTGTGTGGCTTGACTCTAGAGTGAATTTTTTCATGTCTTCTAAGATATTTAGATGAGCAAAAAGACTTGCCACACTCTTCACACTTGTAGAATTTCTCTCTACTATGAACTATCTTATGTCTCTTAAGAGATGAGTGATAACGAAAGGTTTTGCGACATTTGTCACAACCGTGGGGTTTCTCTCCAGTATGAATTGTTTGATGTTCCTGAAGGCTTGCAGAACAGGAAAACCTTCTGTAACATTTTTCACACTTGTAGGAATTGTCTTCAGAGTGAATCTTTTGATGTCTCCTAAGCCACGATGGTAAACAAAAACCCATGGCACACTCTTCACACTTGTAGGGCTTCTCTCCAGTATGAACTGTCTTGTGCATTTTAAGGGCTGAGTAATAACGAAAGGTTTTATGACATTCTTTACACTGGTAGGGTTTCTCTCCAGTATGAACTACCTTGTGTGCTCTAAGGCCAGAGTAAAAACGAAAGGCTTTGTGACATTCTTCACACTTGTGTGGTTTTGTTACCGTATGAATTTGATGTTCCTGCAGGTGTGGAGAACAGGATAATGTTTTTCCACATTCTTCATTGTTGTAGGGATTTTCTGCATGGTGAATTCTTTGATGTTGCTTAAGGAATGAGGGATAGCAAAAGGATTCTCCACATTCTTCACACTTGTGGAGTTTTTCTCCAGAATGACTTCTTAGGTGTTGCTTCAGCATTGAAGGATAGTAAAACATTCTGCCACATTCTTCACACTTGTAGGTCTTTTCATCAGTATGATTTTTCTCGTGTATAAACAGTGATGAACTAGAGCTAAAGGCCTTATGACATTCTTTACACTTATAGGGTTTTTCTCCAGTATGAAGTCTCTGGTGTATAGAAAGTGTCCTACGAGAACTGAGGTGTTTGCCACATTCTTCACACTTGTAGGGTTTCTCTCCAGAATGAATTCTTTCATGTTTCTTCAGCACTGAAAGATAATAAAATGATCTACCACATTCTTTACACCTGTAGGTTTTTTCATCAGTATGATTTTTTGCATGTGTACAAAGTGATGAGCTAGTGCTAAAGGCCTTGTGACATTCTTTACACTTATAGGGTTTTTCTCCTGTATGAAGTTTCTGGTGTATGGAAAGTGTTCTACGAGAACTGAGATGCTTTCCACATTCTTCACACTTGTAGGGTTTCTTCTCTCTATTAATTCTTTGGCGCTGAACAAGGAGTGATTTATAATCAATGGCCGTCATGTGATAATTATGATCAATGAGTGTTGTTCCTATTAAGCCAAAGTTGAGATACGAAAAGTTAAGCAATATTCTTTATATTATAAAGCTTACCTTTTTACTTTTTTAAAATTTTATTTTATGTATTTATTATAATTTATAATTTAATACAGTTATTATTTATAATTTTACTATTTATTTATTTATTACAATTTATTCACTTTGTATCACTATTGCAGGCCCCACCCTCATCTCCTCCAAGTTCCACCCACCCTACTTCTTCTCCCCCTTTGCCCTTTCACTAGTCCCCTGATAGTGGAGGTCCTCCTCCTCTTTGATCTGACACTAGTCTATCAGGTCTCATCAGAACCATCTGCATTGTCTTCCTCTGTGGCCTGGCAAGGCTGTAAAACCCAAGGGGAAGTGATCACAGAGCCAGCCACTGAGTTCATATGAGAGACAGCCCCTGCTCTCCTTGCTAGTAAACCAACTCGGAAACTGAGCAGCCAATGGGCTTCCTTTGAACAGAGGATCTAGGTATAAGGTTAATCTCTTAAAATGGAGACATCCACCCATACATATGAAAGCATCAATGAGAAACTAGTATATATTTCAACACCAAAATTCACCGAGCATAATTCACAAGATAGAGTAGGTGGAAACAATCTATCTTTCTGTAGAAGTAAGAGCACAATCAAATACAACATAGAAGAAATGGCATTATTCAAAGCTAAATAACCCAAGGAAATTGAAAGGGCATTTGACTAGATAAACCCATCAGGCAATACAGATATTATATGGCCTGACAGGTGTGAAGTTATATAGCAAAGCATAGAAAATAAAGATAATTGTGATTGTGTGAGATTGGACAAACATCAAATGTGTTTTATCCATTCACCAAAGTATATAGGATATGTGCAAGAAATGGTTATAGGTAGTGCACACTTATACATAACAATGCAGAATATCAAATTGGAAAGTAAAACAAATCTTGAGTCCATGAAATTCTGAAAGATTATTGTTGAACTGCTAACCATTCTCTAGTTTTAATCTATGCATATCCACAAAGGGCACACATTTTAAAGCCTTAGTACCAAGTATGTGATAGGAAAACATTTTAGAAAATTTTCATCATTCACAAAGAACTTTTGGGATGACTTTCATTAACATGAGTGTAAGTGATATGGAAAAAAAAAAGCCTATGAAGTTACTTTCTTACAATGATTTCACACCTAGGTCTGTAGAAAAGTGTACAAACTTTCAGATGCACACGAACAGTACAAGTTCTGTTACAGAACTGTCCAAAGGGACTCCATTTAGGCTGAGGTTTACCCAACTCCTCAAGCTAACCAGTACTGCTGAGAAAACACTGTCATGCAGTCTCACATGCAGGTTTCAAAGATCTACTGTTTGAATTGTTTGAATCGATGGAATTGAAATGTGTGAAATTTTAGGCCCCTGGACTGCCTCTGGTATGAGTAATTATGGGTTTGGCTTGATAAACCCAAAGCAATAAGAGCCAGAGGGTCCCGGAATGACCAATGTATTTTCTGACACCAAGACCCAACCTATTCCTTCTTGTAGTCCAAGAAGGTAGGTGGAGATGTTTTTCTTATGAACAGAGTATAGTAAGTGAAAAAAAATGACTGACAGGAACTCTTTCCCTAACTTGCCTTTTCCCCCTTTCTGTGACAGGGTTTCTCCTTGACGCCTTGGCTATCCTGGACTTGCTTTGTAGACCAGGATGGCCTCAAACTCACATTGATCTGCCTGCCTTTGCCTCCCGAGTACTAGGATTACAGGCGTGCACCACTGCCCCTGGCTCTCCTTCTAACAGTAAAGATGTTGACTGAAGAAGAAATGCATGACAGTTTTCAATTAATTCCTTGCCTTATGTCATTTCTATGGATGCTGAATGAATAATTGAATAATCTATTCAGTGTATGCTGTCTCAGCTATTGTTCTGTGCCTTAGGTTTTATACCTTTTTCTGACCCTCACCATGAAACAGGGAGTCAGGCCACTATTTGAGCTCTAGTTGGAATTGAGGTGACTGGAAGCTGTGGTTTCCTCTGTCCTGCCTGTGTGCAATGAGGGGTGCCAACCTTCTTTCTGAGGCTGTATTACTGATTCTCAGAAACTCCATGTCTATTCTACTTCAATTCTTCAACTCACACATGCCCAGCACTAAGCTCCCCATTATGGTCTTGTCAGGAACCTAAACCTAGTCAACACCCGGCCACATCCCCCAAAGGTGGGTGGAAGTTGAGCTACGGAATTTCACTCACGGAACCATGCA